AAAAATTAAAGTTGGCTATTAAATTTAAAAATTGCGATAATTTTAAAGTGGTCCAATACTTTTGACCGGGGAGTGTATATCCTTTATAGATTTAATTAAATATAACTAAATCAAATATTGAATAATATAAGTATTTTTCAAAAAAATCAAATTAGTTTTATATAATAAATCTAAATAAAATATTATATACTGTAGATTTATATAATTTTTACTAAACAAATTAATTTACTATATTTGTAATAAGACTCTAAATATCTTTCTTTAACTTATAAATAATATATAGTAAAATGTATTTTTATAATAACTTAGTTAATATTAATGCTAAAAAATGTGATTTTATTATTATTAAATTTTTTTATCAAGATTTTTTTAACGAATATAAGATCATTAAAATTTAATTACTAATTAACTTAAAAATAGAGTTATGTAGGATAATGAATTTGAAAATAATCTTATAATATGAAATTCTAGTTAAAATTAATATATAAACTCTATGTAAACTTTAATATGAGTTATATAGAAATATTTAAGATTTTTTTATAATATATTATAATTGAAATTTCTGATTTACAAATTATTATTAATTTATAATTTGCTATTTATGTATAAAATTTTATTATCAAATATATACAATTAACCTTCTATATAATTACTTTTCCTTTATAAAAAAAATTTTTATTAAATAATAAATTTATTAAAAAATTCTTTTTTATAATCATATTATTTTATTTTAAAAGATATTAATAAATTTTTTTAATTATTATCACCAGATTTATTTTCAGTTATCTTAATGTCTAAGTTGAAAGGTTATAGCAGTTAATTCTATACGTTTGAGTTTCTAACCTTAAGATTTTTTCTAAGTCTTACAGGTATCCATTATACTTAAATTAACTTAGTAATTTATTACATTTTAAAATTTAAGATATATTAATTGAACTCATAATAATAAATTTAATAGCAAGTTAGTATAAGGTATTACAACAAATCCTAGATGAGGGACAACGTTGAAGGGAAAAGTAAATTTATATGAATTTAAATTAATTTCTTTATTAATAACTTGAAACTTGTAAACAACTTATAAATATGTTAATTTATAACTTAAACAAAAAGCTATTTTATTTATACAAAATAAATTTATTATAGCTAACTATTTGCTACGTTATAAATTAACTATTTTAGTAACTTCAGCTATAAAATAATAATAAAAGATAATAAATAAAGATATAAAATATAAGATAAAATATATAAAGTAAGAAAATAAATAACATAATGAAAATATTTTAAAATGAATAATTGCCTATTATTACGAATATAATTAGAATTTGCAGTATCAAAAGAATTAGGTAGATTTTAATTGATCAGATAAATTATGTAGATTTTTAATATTTTTTTGATTCGTCTGACACAGTAATTATAGATCATTACTGCGCATTATCATTTGATAGTTCTCATGTGATATTTTTTATATTTGTAATAATATCCATTTCTAACACTAATATTGTATAAAATTTATAAAATAGTTGATATTCTTAGATTACATAAATTTTTATTTTTAGATTTTAATGATAACTTTTATTTCATAAATAAATTATATTTAAGTGAAGTCATTCAAAAGAGATATTCAAATAATAATAATATAATAATCATTTATGCTTTAAATGTAAATTACTTATATATTAAAGAAAATATAGAAAAATCTAATAAAATTAGTTAAATACAGTGGCTGACAAAAGTAACGTAACAACGTATTTTTAGTTTAAACGCTTATAACTTATTAACTACAAATGCTAGAAATATAATTTTTGATTCATTTTAATCCTTACATTTTGGAAAATATCCTATAAAAATTTATTAGCCAATTAATAATGCCAACTTTGTATAATGTAAAGATCTACATTAAAAATAGTACTTAATGACTTTTGAGTTTAGAAAACTTTTTTAAGCAGACTAGCTATCATAAAACTGATACTGGATTCTGATTCTCCTCTACGTGGTGATTATAATAAGCTAAATTTCGTTCAAATCAGACTATCCTATCAGGAGTTATTGCGCAGCAAAGATTGGCATTTTACTATGAAAAAATAAGTCTAACCAATTTTATATGGGTTGATTGTTAGGAAAATTAGGTTCTGGGAATTTTTTAGCAAAATTGAGATTTTTATTGCATTTTAGTTTTTGATGTTATTAAATTAAAATGTATTAAGCTCTTTATTTTAGTCAAAAATTTCTTAGAACCTGATTTTCCTAGAAACACTCCCATATTAACTTGTAATGTTTAGCTTCATTATATTATTTAATTTACTTTCATTATTTATATAATTTATATTATTAGTATTATTTATAATTATAAGAAAGTGTAGTTACGTATTAATTAAGAATTTATATAAATAGATCTATAAGTTAATTTAAAGTTGACAAAATATTTAGATAGAGTTCTGAAAAATTCTTAGATTAGACTTATATCTTCACAAATTAATAAAGATACTATTTTATACTTTCATAATATTACATTAGTAAATTATAATAAATTATTTAAAAGGTTTAAAATCAAATTATAAACATAGTAAATCATATGATCTGTAACATGATTTTAATAGCAAACCTCTTATTAGTTAATCATAATTTCTCTTAAAAAAGATCTTTGAATTGAAATATTTTGTTTATTAGCTTGGTTTTAATATAATTCAAAGTCTAATAGCAGTTATTTGAAAGATTGAATAATAATTATTATAGATAAAAAAATTTAACTAATATATGAAAATTATAATTTATCAACTTATTTAAATAATATATATTTACTCAAATATTTAATTATATTGAATAATGACAATGTACAAATTGTTATCATTCTAACTGGACCATTCAATATTGTGCATATTTACTTAAATAATTTCAACTGTCTGTTTATGTTTGATTATTGTTTCGTTAATACAAATATTTAAAGAATTAATATTTCATGAATTTAAGACAGGAAATGCTTACAGTACTTCTTAAATAAAGACCACTACATCAAAATCATATTTTGCGTAATTGATATCTTTCTAAAAAAAGCAGTCAACCATAATATTACTAATAGTCACAAAGAAAATACAGTTCCTTGATCCTAATAAGAAAATTAATAATCTACTTACTAACCCTGTTTTATCTAGCTATGGAGGTTGGGATTGCAAAATCTTAAGGCTTAGATGTAGCAAAAGGATTGCATAAAATATAACAAGCATAAACGATAATAAAAATGTTACGATTTGAACTGGTAATCTCCGAAAGCAACGTATGACCATGAGCAAGTGTGGCCTCTGTAGCAACTAATTTATCACGCAAATTCCATATTCCATTGCTTGGAACAAAAGCAGCATTACGAGAAGAAGGATGATATCGTATTTTTAGAGTAGATAAAACGCTGGCTGAAACTACAACCATTTCTTCCTCATACACTCGTTTTTCGATAACTAAGAATATCTAAACATTGTCCAATTTTATTTGCACGACATGAGGTGGCTATCAAGAAAACTTCGTCATATCCGCTGTCTGCCTTTCGTTCAATTTGCGAATATAACGTGGTCCTAATAAACGGATTTATGATTAGAATACTTTTTTTTAAAAAAAAAAATTTGCATATTTTGAGTACCTCAACTACTTCACAACTGTACTTCTAATGGTAAAACTGTTTCCTTTCGGATGACAACACAAGGAAGAAATGGATATCATAGAAGTTTGTTGTACGTATTTCGAAAGTATCTATCTTATCATCAAATTTAATATTTGACGAGGCCTGGAACCATCTCCATGATGTATAATGCGAATCTTTATATTCTTTCAAGTTTAACAGATCTTTTCTTGAATTCCTACATTTAGATCATTAATAAATATTAAGTCCGAGCATCTAAATACTAAATCACAACTTTCATCAAAAGCGGTGGCGCTTACATCAACATTTATAATCATATTTAGGTGTAGGCAAATTGGATTTATGCCAAATTTCAACACCATCAAATCAAACTTGCGAGATTGATTAGTATAAAATGATCTCCAAATTGCTTTGCAATTCAAAAATGGTCGGTGAACTAATTCCTAATTAAAGTTAAAAGAGCAAAATTTGATTAATTATACAAAATTTGTAATCAATATTTCTAACAATTATAAACAATTAACCTGTTAAAATCTTTGATGTTTAGTTCATTTTCCATCGAGGAATCTATGAAGTTCTTCCTAAGAGTTCGTTTAGTAGTGTTGAAAAACCAGCATACTCTGGAAGACATATATCAAAAGTGGCTGGATCGCAAAAAACGGTCTAGCAGCAAAATATTTTCCTACGATCATCGAATACGGTGTTATGCCAATACCATCAGCATTTAAAGCTTTAAAATTCAGAATAAATTCTTCTGTTCAAAGTCAAGAACTTCAAGTGTGAATATAGCTTCATATTGGTGGATATTTGTGTCGGTTACTCAAAAAAAGTTGACCTTGAATTTTATAGGACGGCCTGAACGACCTAAGCCAGTACGTTCTATCATTTTTAAAGACCTGTTTAGTGATTAAGCAACCATTCCTTGAGCAACTCGTCATAAAGTGATGATGATAGATTTCATTCACGTTGGCAGTGCGCTTGTTAGCAAATATTAACATAAAAGATTACATGGGAGTACGGCTTAAACATTCTCCATCTCGCTGTACCAATCTTTTCATTCGACTAATAACTATGTCTCTCTAAAAAAAAAAACAAAAGTCTTTATTTATGCGGTAAGCTAGTTGATTCGAAACGTTGAAGACCTTTCAAACTATAAAGCCGGAGAATATACTTGTCATCCCGAACAGGGAAAACATTGGCGCGGCAGACTTACTTTATTATTCCAATGCCCGAAAACTATTCAATCAATCAGGCTGAGCTAGCAAAAATAGGTGAAAACATATGTATATAAATTATAATATATGATAGCATGAATATAATGATAGACTTGTAACAAGTAAAACTAAGTCCCAAAAGCACCAGATCATTCAAATTATTCAATCATTGATACCGAATCTAATATCGGTATTATAGAAGATTGCTAGGAAAATCAGGTTCTGGGAATTTTTTTAGCGAATTTCAATGTTTATTGCATTTTGTAAATTATTGCGACATACCATTTAAGATAGGCATTTTAGGATCAGTATTTGACAAAATTTAAAATTCGACAAGGACATTAATTTGTTTTTTAAAAAATAAAAATAAGTCAAGATTTTATTTTAGAATACGATTCCAGAATTTGTTCATAATTTTGTTTAGTGGAATCGTTAATCGGAAATTCAGAAGTTCTTTTATTTTTTTTTTTTATTTAATTAAATATTTGGAGTTTGCGTCGTTATTAACCTAATTTCTTCAAAAGCTCTTTTTTTTTATAATTAATAGATTAAGAAAATTCTTAACTTCTAAACTTAAATTACCATTTTAATAGCATTTTTAATTGCAGTTTCAATCTTGTGATTAAATATATAATTATTGATCATACGGGCATTTTGTAATAAAAAGGAGGTAAATTTGTTACATAAGAAATTATTTATTAATCGCCTATTAACACTATTCTTTAATTTTTCATGACTAAATACAGTATATGCAAGTATTTTTTAAAAACCGACGCAAAAAAACAGGTATCGCTATCTAAGGTTAGGACTTAGTATATGACGTCATTCTTGTTATTTACGAATGACGTAAATGATGATTGTTCATTGGCCAATTTTTGTTTCTTGGAAAATAAATAGAGGATCCCACAACTTCTTTTACCTTTATTCCAACTTTTTCTTTACTTTTGGTGGGTATTAATTTTGTAATTTCTTTTTTTTTCTTTTTTTTTTATAAAAAAGAAATAAGCCGAATAACAACTTACATTTTATTATTTCAAAGAATCTTTTAAACGATGACTCGAAAAACACGACAGGTTCGCGTTCAAGGAGTCACTCGTGCTGTTGTCGCGCCAAGGCGACGACCTATTTCTTCAATTTCCCTTTCTTCCATTCCCCTTCAGTTCCTTCTTCTTTAACTCCTTTAACAGCTGTATCTTCTTCTCCTTCCCCTTCTCCAACAGCTGCTTCTCCTTCTTTAGCTTTTTTCCCTCACTCTCCCACTTTTCCTGTTTCTTCTCCTATTTCTCCTACTTCTTCGATTTCCTCCACTCCTCCTGATTTTTCTCCTTCTCCTATTCTCGCATCATCTTCTGTTCCTCCTCCTATTCCTTCTATTCCTCTTACCGCACTTCCTAATACCACTTTATATCGTTCTCCCCCTTCTCCTCCTTCCCCCTCTTTAAGTTCATCCCCTTTTTCATCTCCTTCTACTTCTTCCATTTCTTCGTCTTCTTCTAATTCTTCTACTCCTACTTTTACCCTCCCAGTTTTTTACCGTCCTTTTATTTAATATCGTCTTCTTAGGTGGCCAGAGCCGATGGATCTTGATCCACCAGGCATTTTTGTTGAAACCCCTTTTATCCCCCCTAATCAGTCCGAACCAATGGATCTTGATCCTCCTGGTTCTTACGTAGCCGTTGATTATGGTTTCTATCCCTTCCTCCTCCGTTTTTAACTGGCTACCTCTCCTTCTTTTGTCGTCTTGGCCGGCACAAAAATTTAAAAATTAAAATTAAAGTAAAAAAAAAATAAAAAAAAAATTCCCTTTTAATAAATTTCACTAGGGTGTTTATCTTTAGATAAGCATGACTACGATACAAAGGTATCGTATATATTATATGAAGTTGGCTGTTTGTCTTTCCTTTTTGCAATTAAAATATTCCCTCTTTTGGCCAATTCATCCGGATTCATTTTTTAGTTTAGAATTTATTATTATCTTTTACTATATATACTGTAATTAAAAAAAAATATTTATATGTATTTCGATGATGTCTTGAGGTGAACTTTTATTTAATTTATTTTTTCAAATTTATACCCACATTATATTCGTCTTCACATTCTCTTTTCACCTCAAATGAACTATCACATTTGATATGTGATGGTTCAAGTTTTCTTTAACCTGAACGAGCTTGCCACCTCTACGCGGTGTTTAGGAGAAACGGTTATAGTTTGTACTATTTCTGGCTAAGCGCAAGCATGTAAAAGTTGTATTTCATATTAATATTTGCTAATTTATAAATAAATCATATATACAAATTTTATTTTTAAATGATTTTTCATTAGTAACTCGGCATACGGTATTATTCGTAACAAATCAACACAATACAAACACATAATCTCCGAGTAGGCGGTTGAATTTTTCTAATTAATATATAGAAATTTTAAATAAATTTAAATTGACTTATAAATTATGATAAATTTGCCTTTAAATATGAAGGTAAATCCATTGAAGGAATAATTTTATCTTACATCGTTAATTTTAAATATAAATTTGAATGTAAAAAAACTAAAGTCGATACTAGAATCTCTACATATTAAATTGATAAAGGATCGATAAGCTTCGCAATAATTTATTGCGTTTATTCCGACACAAAATAACATCTTCAAACAATTATTCTCTAAATAATAATTTTTCTTCCCTCCCTTTTCCGTTTATTATGTTTCCTATTGCTTATTGTACTATCGGGTTTAAAGTCATGCTTCTATTGTATGATCGAAATCACAATTTCTGTATTTGCATGTCAGTATTATTGCGTGATAATAATAATGCTTGTCTACATTTATTCATACGCGTGAATTCCGATTTAACAATATTAATACACGGTCAAAACATTTTACCGTAAAATTCGTTCAACACTTTTTCGCAATGATAATTTTAATTGAAGATATTTTTGTTACACCAAATGCACGATCGACAATTAACTTGACAAAAGTGGTTAATATAAATCCCTTACAAAAAGTAAATTGAATAAAAATTCTCCAAATTATTTTTTTTTTTTTTTTTTTTTTTTTTTTTTTTTAGATACGGCATACAGATGTCAAATATATGGATTAATTGGATTGAAGAATCTATAACTAAAAAGCACATTAAATATTATGAATATGATCGTTTTAGAAATATTCAAGTGATTGATACCGGGGAGTTCGGAAAAGTTTATCGTGCGAATTGGAAAAATTAACAATACTTGGCATCAATACTACCGCGAAAGAAATTGTTCGTGAGGTAATTAATTATGAATTGATGCTCATGATATGTATAGTCTTTTGTAATATTCTATTGGAATTTTGTTGAAATTTGTGATTTTTTTGAAGATCGAACTTCGTCGTGATGTCGATTTTCACAACATTATAATTCGTTTCCTTGGTATAACGAAACCTGAATCAGGCATGATTTTGAATCTGTTAAATATTATTATTATTTTATCATTTATAAAATGACAAGTTAATGAAATAATACTTGTTTAATTTTTATTAGGAAATCAGAATGAACAACTTAAAATGTATCTATTAGTAATGGAATATGCTGAAGATGGCACCCTTCGAGATCATTTAAAGAAAAAATTCAAAGATCTTACTTGGAACTTGTCTTGTCAATTGACTAGTGCCTTCTTATGTTTGCATGATGAGGGAATCGTGCATCGTGATCTGGTTGGTCATTTTATGTTTTATATGCTTGTAATGAATATCATATGTATGAAATGTTTAGAATAATTATTTTATTTTGATTATTTGATGTTTGATGTTAGCATTCCAATAACATATTGGTTCATCAGAACAACATGTCAAAGAGGATTTATGAGGCGTCCGATCTTCAATCAAAATTATTTGGCATGGTTCAATATACTGATCCAAAAAGATTCAAAGGGCAACAATCATATCTATTAAATGAAAAGAGTGACGTTTATAGTGTTGGGATATTGTTATGGGAAATATCAAGTGGATATCCACCATTTTGCGCTGAAAATAGAACTTATGATGTTTAGTTAGCTCGGGATATTTTACAAGGTCTTAGGGAAGCGACTGTTCCTGATACTCTTGATGATTACTCTAAACTCTATATCGGTAAGTATGAATGCACAATATCAACTTGATTTTTAATTTCGATTTCTGATAAATTACTTCAATTTTTACATTTATTAGAATGCTGGGATGGCGAACCGGAAAATCGACCGTATATGTGTAATGTTGTTGGATTACGAATGATGATGGCAAGGTCCACTTTGACAATAGGTTACGACCAAAGTAAAAGAATATTTACTCTTGGCTATAAATAATGCAATTACGAATAACTATAAATGTTGTTTAAGTGTAGATTGTTTTAAGGAAATAATTTACGAAATTTAGCAGCAAAACTAATCCTTTTCTCATTATTCAACATGTGGGAGTTTTGCTATTAAAATCACGTTACGGATCATATGATTTACTATGTTCGTATCTGGATTCTAATAGCAAACCTCACATCAGCTTATGGTCGAAATCAAGAAGTAATCGAGGTTTTATTATTTTAATTTTTCGTTCTAACTCTCATTTGAAACTTATTATCAATTTAATTAATATTACAAAATATAAATATATAAAGGAAGAATGTATTTGTAACATCCTGTTACATGTCGTTATCTGTAACTACTTCGGA